CAAAATCTGCTAAGACCTGGGCCTTGATCGCTGTCCTGGGTTGATACCGAATGTCAAACTCACCAAGTTCTACCGCCCATTTTGCTGTTCGGCCAGAGAAATCGGCTCGGCTGAACACAGATCTAAGGGGGAATTCAGTGAGAACGTTTATAGTATGCCCCTGGAAGTAATGTTGCAGCTTTCTTGAGGCAATAAGCAGCGCGTATGCTAATTTTTCCAACGGTAGACATTGTGTCTTGGCATCTAATAAAGTCTTGCTGACATAATATACAGGCCTCTGTTCCTTGTTAACCTCTCGAATTAATACTGCGCTCACGGCATGATTTGAGACTGCTAGATAGAGGTACAGCTCTTCTCCCGGCTCTAGTGTGGACAGTAGAGGAAGTGTGCTGAGGTATCTTTTGAGACTTCGTAGTGCTTCGGTACATTCGCTACTCCATTCAAATGCTGCCTTTTTCCTTAAAAGTTGAAAGAAGGGCTTCATCCGATCTGAGGATTTGTTAATAAACCGATTCAGTGCGGCTGCCATTCCGGCTAGTTTCTGCAACTCTTTAGCCTTTGTTGGTACTTCAAGATCTTGTATTGCTCTGATTTGATCCGAATTCGCTTCGATCCCTCTGTGAGTGACCATGTATCCTAAGAACTTCCCTGTTTCTACCCCGAAAGCGCATTTCGAGGCATTGAGGCGAAGCTGGTAGTTTTTTAGGATGCCAAAAACTTCTCTCAAGTCTGTGAAGTGATTTGTAGCGAGCTTGCTTTTTATTACCATATCGTCTATATAGGCTTCCATGGTTTTTCCTAGTTGATCCTTGAACATTCGAGTGATCATTCGCTGATAGGTTGTCCCAGCGTTCTTGAGGCTGAATGGCATTACTTTGTAGCAGTAAGTTCCCCTTGGAGTAATAAACGCTGTCTTTTCTTGATCCGGACCGAACAGTGGTATCTGATGATAACCGCTATAAGCATCCAGAAAGCTCATGCGCTCATGCCCTGCTGTCGAGTCTACTAGTTGATCAATGCGAGGCAGCGGAAAGCTATCTTTAGGGAAGGCTTTGTTCAAGCAAGTGAAATCAACACGAACTCTCCATTTTCCGTTCTTCTTCTTGACTACAACTGTGTTAGACAGCCATTGCGGGTACTGAACTTCTTTGATTGCTCCCGAGGCCAGGAGTTTTTCGACTTCGGCAATTACTGCTTCGGTGTGCTCAACTGAGGATCTCCGACTTTTCTGCACAATAGGCCGAGATGATGGGTTGATGTTAAGCTTGTGGCAAGCAAATTCTAGGTCTAACCCTGGAGTATCATATGCTGACCACGCGAATACCTCCATATTTTCCCTCAGCAGTTCCAACAGCTAAAGTTTCTTATCACTGCCTAGCGAGGTACTGATAAGGAAGTACTTTTCTGGGTTATCCTCTTTTACCAAGACTTTCTCCAAATCTTCTACCATCTTTTCCTCTGGGGTTCTCCCTACATTTTCCAAGACTAGCTGTTCGGCCACTTCTACCGTCTGTACCCGATTGCAGAGCTGCTTTGCCTTTAATGCTGCCATGAAGCAATGTTTGGACGCAACTTGATCCCCTGAGATCTGCTCTACTCCGTGTTCCATTGGGAAACGGATGAGCTAGTGGTAGGTTGAAGGGACTGCTTCTATTCGATGAATCCATGGACGGTCAAGTATGGCGTTATAAGGGGATGGTGTATTAATAACCAAGAACTCTATCTGGAGGGTTTTTGTCCCCGTCACGACTGGCAACACTATTCTGCCAAGCGGCCATTCTGGCTGTGAATTGAAACCGACCAACGGAGCTGTCGCTGGGGTGAGGTGCTGCTCGGAGAGACCAAGCTTTCTGAACAAATCATAATACAGTATGTCTGCTGCACTACCCTGATCTACTAGGACTCGTTTTATGTCAAATCGTTTCCCAATTCCCACAGTTATAATTAATGCATCAGTATGTGGGTGCTATATGCCTTCTAAATCTTTGCTAGTAAATGAAACTGTGCACAAGGGGGATTTAGGCACTGTACATACTTTTTTTGATGCAAGCTCCACTGACATGACCCGCTGAATTTGCGCAGCCTTAGCAATCTCTTCCTTTAGTGCCTCATCAGATTCCTGAATCGCTGTCCCGTGGATCACATTTATTATCAGCTGAGGCGGATGCTCGATATTTGCTTCTGGTGGTGGGTTCCCCGGTTCAGTCATTTCCTTATCCTGATCAATGTAATCCCTTAGGTGTCCAGCTGCCACTAGGTCTTCCAAGTGTTGCTTTAGTGCCCTGCAGTTCTGAGTCATGTGCCCCCTATCTTGATGGTAGGTGCATCTGGCTTCTGATTGCGCCGAGCTGGGTCTCCCAACATTTTCGGCAGCCAAATAAAGAAGGGCTCTCTCGTGATCTTTTCCAGGATTCGATAGATTGGCTCTTTGAATACAGTCACAACAGCTTCATGGGATTTGGACTTATCCACCTCATTCACTACAATTCCTCGGTGTTCTCCTGGATCTGTTCTCTTCTTATGCCGAGCTGTTTGTTCTGCTGACGCTACCTCGATGGGGATCTGATCGTCTTCGAGACGAGCGTACTGCTCAATCCTGGCGCGGAAGTCTTTCAAAGCTGTGGCCGGACGCTTGGTAAGTGATTGTCTCAGCTTACTTTCCCGGCGCAGATTGTGCTTGAAGGACATAACGGCCATCTGCTCGATGCACACATTTTCTTCCAGGTCATTGTGCTCTTCCCAGTACCTCCTAGCATAATTGCGCAGCGTTTCCTCTTGCTCCTTCCGGAGGGCGAACAGTGTATCCGGCTCCTTCGGGATCTTAGTATTGGAGACGAACCTGGCTAGGAACTCTTCGGAGAGTTGCTTCCATCCATGGATCGATCCAGCAGGGAGACGATCGAACCATCGAATTCCGGTTTCTCCCAGGCTGGATGGGAAGACTTTACACATCAGTGCCTCATCTCGGTTCCATAGGGACATCATCTGTCTATAATGACTAATATGTGTCAGCGGGTCCGACTTCTCGTCGTATGGAGTGAACTTCGGTGGAGTGAATTTCTTTGGAGGTCTCATGGTCTCAATCTCCGGGGAGAACGGCGAAGAGATGAGCCTGTCCAGCGCTTGATGTTCTCTCTGGTGAACAGTATGGTCCAGATGATCTCGATGTTACTCGTTCTGCCTATTGCCGATCAACCAAGTACGAAGGTCCTGATGAGGGTAGTCAGTCTGTTGGCTAACTGTCTTCTGTTTTTTGGCCCTTTTCCGGCGTGACCCACAGGTGTGACTGCTTGCTGCCTCACTCTGTACCGGGATAGGCTGGCTTTGTTGCCCAGACTTATTCCTGGGGAATTTCTTTACTAGTGGCTCTCTGGATGAGCTCCTCCGCCGTAAACGAGAGGGCTCCGCTTCCGTCTTCTTTTTCGTCGGATCACCCAGCACCCTTCTAAGTTGGGCTTTCAGCTCCTGTATCTCCATCCCCATAGAGTCTATGATTCGATCTCTATAATCCTTTTCCAGAAGAAAGTGATGAGAAAAGCTTCCAACGAAGGGTAATTGATGCTCGACGGATTCAGGGGTTCGATTATTGTTTCCAGTTTGTTCCTCCGGGACTGTTGGGAGTGCCAAACCTTTGTCCTTCATCTTCTCCATCTGCGGAGTATGTGCTAAAGGCGGAACGTCCTCAATCCCCATCGCCGGAACTGAATGCAGAGCTCAGAGATGAAGTGATCCACGTTCACCGCACCAATTGTGCGTACCGGATTCCGCACTAGATAAAAATGGATCGGGGCCCTGCACTTGGTTGGACTATCCAGGGACTAAGGCTCCTGCCACAAGAAGCACCGTTAGAGCTGCCCGGCCGGGGTTGGCCGGATAACCCCTCCGGTGTGGGAATTAGTGATCGGAGAAGGAATGAATATCGAATAGAGTTTGTAAGTTTGCTTGGAATTGTTTTTTTTGTGTTACCTTCCATGTGAAGTTCATATTGTATATATATGCTGGTTCCTTGCTTGCTTCTCAAGGTGGGTTCCTGGGGCATAGATGCTGCCAGGTGTCCTTTCAGCATTGCTTATGGTAGGGGACCACCTGGTAGTTGCCATTTAATGTATATACTCATTGTAGTCATGCTGATAACAAACCACATTCCTTTGGCTCAACAACTTTCGTGATTCTAGGTGTAGGGGACCAGCTGAGGTGGCAACTTGCACATACACACGTTCATAACTTCTACGTTTCCCTGTGAGGTTTCCTCAGCTCGGTACCGATATGCCTCAGCTCGGTGTCATTATGCCTCGTCTCGGCCTTGTACAAGATCATTCATAGAGATGGGCTGGTCCTTTCGGATATCTTTGTATGGGCTCGGCCTATTATCTATTCGGCCCATAGATTCAGTATCGCAGCTCGGCCCAGCCCAGCACCACGACTGGGCTAGCCTTTCCACTGCGGTGTTGGGCCCAAGTTCTTGAGGATTTGGTTGGACTATAGATCATGAAGTTGGGCTCAATTGGTTTGCCTATATACTTATCCAGTCCACTCGGATTCAGACTTCAGCGGATTGGGCCGGCCCAAGGCTTGAACCCGACCCATTTTACATTTACCCCCTTCAATCCTGAATATATATATATTTATTTATTTATTTATTACTCGTTTTGATAATGGGAGAATTTTGAAACTTTTTAAATGTATTTTGTGTTTGTGTAATTACCATTTGGTATGGGTAATGCTATTGATAAATTTTGATCAAATTAATAAATAATTAAGACATTTTGACTTTTGTTTATTGAAATATAACGTGACAAGTGCGAGTAATTAAATTGTATATATTTAAAAATAATTTTAATTAATATATATATTTAACTTGGTCCGCAAGACTAGTTAGTGTGATGGATTGAGCTATCTAAACCATCCAACTAGTCAAGATTGGCGTCTAAAGATGCAAAGTTTGATTCAAAGTCTAGTTTGGAACATGTATAAAAGAACTTATTAGCACCAAGCAACAAACATATCTATTATATCTCCAATGGCAAGTGAGAAAGTAAAGCTTTTGGGATTTTGGGTTAGCCCATTTTCCTTCAGAGTAGAGTGGGCACTAAAACTGAAGGGTGTTGAGTATGAATACATTGAAGAAGATATCTTCAACAAGAGTCATTTACTTCTTGAATTGAACCCAGTGCATAAGAAGGTCCCAGTACTGATTCATGGCCAGAGGGTGATCCTTGAATCTTTTGTAATTCTCGAGTACATCGATGAGACATGGAAACAATGTCCATTGTTGCCTCAAGATCCTTATCAAAGAGCCATCGTTCGATTTTGGACTAAGTTCGCCGAGGAGAAGGTGATTTGTTCTTGACTTGAATTTTCATTATCCAATTTTTTTAATAATCTTGAATCCTTAAAATAGATTATTGGCTTTACTATTGATTCAATTAGTAGCTTGGAAATTGGAAAAAAAAATGGGTTTTGATTTTTCTTCTTGAGTTCATGTGTTTTCCATTGTAAAATCTTTGCTAATTAACTGTTTTATTCATTTTTTTTGTGGTATTTTCTTTACTTGTAGCTTTTTTGCTAAGAAAGATGTAATATAGCTTCTTCTCTTTTTTTTTTTTACATAAATTAGAAATATATTTATTTAAAATACAGATTGTCCCAAATATTTTTGAAAATTACAAATATTTCATTGTTAACATTTTTTATTTAACAGAATTAATAAAAAAAAATAAAAATGTTAACTACTCTCTTATACAACAATAAAATTATCAAAATTTTTAATGAAATATTTTTGTGACATCATTAAAAAGCTATTAATTGATTTAATAATTTATTAATAAAAGAGATCGATTTAATAATTTATTAATAAAAGAGATCATTTGTAATGTTATTAGAAATTTGAATGGACCAGATATAACATTTATTAATGAAATGAATCATTTATTCTGCAATTAGAAATTTAAATGGGCGAGATGTAATTTTATGAGATAGTTTATATTTTAAGCAAATATCATGATGTTTGTAATTTACCATTCTTTTTGTTAATTTATTATTTTATTTTAAACCTAAATGTTTGAATGAATGGTTAATATTTTTTGGTGCATGTTTGTTATAGCTTTTGGAAAATGCATGGATGGCTATGTGCTCAGAAGGAGATGAGAAGGAAAGAGCTCTGAAAGCATCCATTGAGGCCATAGAGAAGATAGAAGCAGAGCTAAAAGGGAAGACACAGTTTTTTGGAGGGGAAAGCATTGGGTATTTGGACCTTGCACTTGGATGGATCTCTTATTGGCTTCCTGTTTGGGAGGAAGTTGGGTCCATGAAAATTGTAGACCAAATCCAGTTCCCAAACACCACTGCTTGGATGAACAATTTTCTCAAACATCCTGTGATCAAGGACAAGTTGCCTCCCAGAGATAAGATGATTGTTTATTTCAAAAAGCGCAGCAAAGAAATCGCATCCCTCATTGCTGCTGCCAGAAAAGGCTGATTAAAAGTTTTAACATTTCTAGTTGTTTTTCGCTTGCTTCACTTGATGAAGATGAGAATAAATGTTGAAAATACACTGGAATACATAACTAGCTAGTAATTAGTTATATACCTAATGGTATGGATTGTTGGCAATGTAATAAAACAATCATGAGTTTTGCTATGTTCTGTCAGTTGTATATTTTCTGATATGGATAGTTTGAATTGCATATTTTCTTATGCAATATCCATTGACAAAGAATTTTCTTATTATTACCCATGCTGGTTCTTCCTATTCTCATTGTAGTTTTTTTTCAAAATGAGTTGCACTTTCAAGGCTACTTCTTTTTCTTCAAAAAGAAAAGGGAAAAAAAGAGAGTTCATATATAAATATATAAAACAGAACAAGAACATAACAGAACTTACTGATCTTATTGAAAGCAGACGTAGCTAGAACTTGAGCTGTATGAACAGCCCACCAAGTAGCTTTAGTAACAGTAAAGTGAAAACTTAACAAGCAAAAATTGAAGGAAAAACAATCAATGGCAAAGATCGATAATCCCATGAGGGTGTTTATCACGCAAGAAGAAGATATAATCCGGAAGTGAAAACAAAGAGAGAATAATTAGAAATTCCAAGTGTGTAGTTCCATTGTTCCAGCCATCTATTTATAGGCTACATGATATCTCTTTATCAGTGGTTACATCCATTGATATTGAGTCTCCAAACCCAATAGTCACTATGCTTCATACAATTGTGTCTCTTTATTTAAATTCAGACCAAACCTTCCAGATTTACATCCTCCTTGCGGGAAGGATCAATCACCAAGCCATGGGAAATAATCACATGCAGAGAGCCACACTGTATTATGGTGTGGTCATCTCTATTTCCATCAAAAATCACATCTACAATTATTGTCTTCCAAATCCAATAAACCAAACAAATTACAGACCATATACGCCTCCCTCCTGGACATCAAGGTTGAAGAAGCATAGAAGGATGCACTACCCAGGCTGAATCTGCACTGCTTCTTAGCCTTGTCTATAGCAACTTTGACAGACCTTCCCGATAAACCAAAAAAATGAGGATTAGAACCAACAAAATAAGAGGAACAAACAATTTAATTCATTGCAGGGCACTAAGACCTCATCATCCTGAAACAAATTAGCAGATTGGTAAATGAAATTCCCAGATTTGGATTTTGATTAGGCCTAATCATATTCATTTGGGTACACTTCTGTCAAACTTTTTATTATCAACTACCATGTTTCAAAAATAAATCAAAAAGGATTAAATCACGGTATGCAGCTACAACTGCATTGATTAAACCAATTTGATATTCAATGAGAAAGAATGAATTCCATATTTCATCCTATTTGAACTATTACTTAAATTTAAGCTATCAAATCATATCTTGCTTTTCAATTTTTCTTCTTGAATTGATTTGAGCATAACACAAATGTATAAAATTGAAACATGACACTACTGATGAATAAAAAATATGACAGTACTAATTAATAAAATCATGGCAATACTAATGTGTTAGTGCTTATTCAATACCACTCAACAGGGCCAAGTTTCCTCTCCAGATTGATAAGAAAAATGTTTGGATTCCAGTTTTTATTAGCTCTAACCATGTCACTTTTGTCAAACTTTTCAAACTTTTGGATTCCCTGATTTCATTCATTTTTTTTTTCTTTTTTTTCTACTGAAGAAAATTTTATTGAAAAAATTAGATAAAGGTCAAACCAGCCTAAGATCAGTGTGGATACACATTCATAGATAGAGTTAACCTTGCTACTTCATGATCATGAGCCACCTGATACAAGATCCAACAGACCTGTGAACTGAACGAAATTGATGGTGAACTGTCTGACCTTATCATTCTGATGAGGACGTTTCACTATTAAAATCAACAGATGGGTGGACTATATTCATGCTTCTCTGTTTCTCCAAGAAGGTTCTCCATGAAGAGAAGTTTATCTCTGACATCTGTAAATCCTTGAGAAGCGACGTAGGACCTTGTGATTGACTCCCATCTCATGAAGACATCATCAAATCTTCCAAGAGACTGTGGGATAACAAACATAGCTCCTGTTTGTTGCATAGCAGATGGTAGATTCCATACTTCATTATTGGTTCCTCGCCGAAAATTTGATCGTATTCCTGTATATGAAGGTCTTTCAGGAATATTGATTGAAGGACCATGTCCTGTTGCTGGCGGGTAACCTGGGGGACCCATCATTGAATCCTGCGGGGGATTGTAATGAGAGGTGACGGCTGATGATGAAGATAAAAGATACTGAGGCTGCTTCTGCTGTCTTCTTTCAATTAATGCCTTTATCTTTGCGATTTGCGGATACTCCGTTTCCGCTTCTCTGTCTGCTTCCTCCATCATAGCAATTATGTTGAGAGTTGAATCAGAGCAGCCACATATTGTAACCAAAGTGGCCCAATTTCCAGAAGAGACGCTTAAGGAGACTAAAGGCCTACGTTCTTGGTTGGGCCTTCTCAATTATGCAAGGCAATACATTAAAGATTTGGGCCGCATGTTAAGCCCATTATACTCAAAGGTCAGCCCAAATGGAGAGAAGAGGTTGAATGCCCAAGATTGGGAGCTGATCCATAAGATCAAGGCTAAGATCCAGAAGTTGCCTGATCTGACAATTCCTCCAGCACAGTGCTCCATTATTCTTGAAACTGATGGATGCATGGAAGGGTGGGGAGGAATCTGCAAGTGGAAGCTAGCTGCTAAAGACCCACGATCAACGGAACAAATTTGTGCATATGCCAGCGGAAAGTTCAATCCGATCAAATCAACCATTGATGCCGAAATTTATGCATGCATGAATTCCCTGGAGTCATTCAAGATTTATTATCTTGACAAACAGCAGCTCATCTTAAGAACTCTAGTATAAGCAAAAGAAGAGTTACGAAAAGATAGAGCAAATATGACAATCAGCTAGCATAACCTCTGCTGCAACGCCAGTTCTATGCATAAAATTTAACTCATAAACAACTTGTCGAGCTTCACTTTCAAGAATAACCTTGCTACTTCATGATCATGAGCCACCTGATACAAGATCCTCTAGTATAAGCAAAAGAAGAGTTACGAAAAGATAGAGCAAATATGACAATCAGCTAGCATAACCTCTGCTGCAACGCCAGTTCTATGCATAAAATTTAACTCATAAACAACTTGTCGAGCTTCACTTTCAAGAATAACTACCTGAACCCTTCAGCTTCAACGGAGACAAGAGCCTCCATAACAACAATGCCTTCAATTATCTTCTTCATCTTCATCGTCTTCATCTTCTTCTTCATCTTTATGGTCTTCTGGAACTGATTTGAACATAGCATAAGCACATCAAATTGAAACGTGACAGTACTAATGAATATGAACATGACATTTGTAATGATCAATAAAAATTCTAAATGTAGTTCACTATATCTTTTGTTTTATTTTCTAAGAGAAAAATTTTCTTAATTTTTTTTAAGATTAATTACCTACTTTCATGATTTTGATGGGCCTGCAACAATTCACAGAGGGTAATTGCTGTGTAAAAATAAAAAATTTCTTCCTAATTTATTACATAACTAATTCCAGAGCTATGTAAAAGGAAAGGATAAGATGCAATTTAAAAGTTAAATCCCATGTTAACTAAAGTAGGTTTGTGACCAATATGTAATGACAGAATGAGAAATTCACCAACCTAATTTTTTTTCCTTTCAATGTAGCCATTGATAACTTCATTTATATAGCACTCCATGGTGAGAAATAAATTTAATTAGTAAAAGAGAGATAAATAGATGTTCCCAAGGTACTACTAGGAGCCAAAAATACAGGCATGAAAAAATATGAACAAAAATAATGTGGAGGTATAGGTACATTATAAATGTGGGCTCCACTATAAGAATTAAATTTGGACTACAAATTATTTTTCTAGATAATTTTTTTATTTATTTTGGTTGGGAGATACTAAATGGTGTGTACCATATGCAAGTTATGTCATTTGTGAGTTTGATCATCACAAATAGCTAACAAAAGGACATACCGAGTTTGATGTTGATGCTCTTAGCTAGAACATGAGGTGCACAGCCTACTTAGTAGCTTGAGTAACACAAAAGTGAAAACCAAACAAGCAACTAAATTACATACAAATTTAATGTCTTGCACTAAACCAGACAAAGTAGAGCTATATGTCAACATGTGCACCTCAGATATCTCCGATATGCTTGAACCATCATGGCTGAAGAGCATAGAGGGATGAACAACTTAATTCATTACAGGGCACTAAGATACTGTCATCCATCCTGCAACAAATTACCAGGTTCGTAAGTGAAATTCCCCGATTAAGATTTTGATTGGGCCTATTCATTTGGGTACACTTCCATCAAACTTTTCATTTTCAATTACTAAGTTTCCAAAAGAAAACATAAAAAGGCATTAAAATAATAATAGTGTACAGCTGCATTGGTTAAACCAATTTGATATGCAACAAGAAAGAATGAATTCCTGATTTCATACTCATTCATTATCAGCATAAGTCCATTGACAAAGAATTTTTATATAACCCAGGCTAGTTTCTTTCTTTTCTTATTGTGGTTTCTTCAAACAGATTTGCGCTTTCTAGGCTCCATTCTATAATTCCTTGTTCTGTTTTTTTTTCTTTTCTCTTTTGTCTAACATATGCAGATTGATAAGCAAAATGCCCGGCTTTGAATTATTGTTAGCTCTAACCAATCAATTGAGTACACATCTCTGAAACTCTTCATAATGATTTCATAAGTTTCAAAAAGAGATTAAAAGCATTGTATGAAGCTGATTGAAGCAATGCAATAAGTACCGAGAAATACTAAATCCTTGATTTCATCCCTTTTTTTTTCTTTTTTTTTTTGGTCACCCAAAGAAAATTTTATTGAAAAAATAGATGAATTATAACCAAGAGCTGCCTGGTGCAAGATCTTCTAGTATAAACACAACAAGAGTTGAGAAAATATCAAGTAAATATATGACAATCATCTACCACAACCTTTGTGTCAACACCAGTTCTATGCATAGAATTTATACCTGCACTGACAAGAACCTCCCAAACAGCATTGCCTTCAATTCCATTCAGCCGGAATTGATTTGAACATAAGCATACATAAGCATATAAAATTGAAACATGACAATACTAATGAATAGGAAGATTACATTACTAATGATGAATAAAAATATAACAGCACTATTGTGTTAGTGTTAGTACTTATTTAGTGCCAGTTGAAAGGGGCAAAGTTTCTCTCCAATTCCAATTCTAGTTCAATATATTTTAGCTTTTATTTCTATGCCCTTCAGTTTTTTTAAAGAGAAATTACCTACTATCATGATTTTGATTGGTTATTCATGGTGGGTAATTGTCGTGTAGTAATAAAAAAATTACATTCTAATTTATTAGCTAACTAATACCAGAGCTACGATGTGAAAGGAAAAGATAAGATGCAAATACAAGCTAAACCTAAATCCCACATTAAGTTAAGTTAAGTAGGTTGTGATCAATATGTAAATACCACAATCAGAAATTCACTCACATAATTTTTTTAAGAGCAGTTACCTGTTTTCATGATTTTGATGGGTCTGCAACAATCCACAGAGGATAACTTGTGTGTAAAAATAATTTTTTTTCTTCCTAATTTATTACATAACTAATTTCGGAGATATGTAAAAGGAAAAAATATGATATAGATTTAAAAGTTAAATCCCATGTTAAATAAAGCAGGCTATGACCAGTATGTAAATACCATAATAAGAAATTCACCAGCACAATTTGTTTTCCCCCTTTCATTGTAGTAGTTGATAACTTCATCTATATAACACTCCATGGTGAAAAATAAATATTAAGAATAAGAGAGAGATAAATAGATGTCTTGAGAATAATGCTAGAGACTAAAAATTTAGACAGAAAAATACCAATAAAAATATTGTGTGGTGTAGACACAATTATATATTGTGAGCTTTAGTATAGGACTTGGGAGCAATAAGCAACTGAAAATAAATGAGATGTAGATATAAATTTTTAAATATATATGAAACAAGTCTACTCCCAACAGAAGAACAACTTGCATGTGAATATTCAAGAGAGGAAAAGTTATTGGCATAGGTAGAGCATATGTAGAATAGGGAAAAAAAAGAGACAAAGAGGAAGAGAGATGGGTGGAAGAAGTACCGATCTTCACTCTATTCTGTTTCTAAAAAATTCTTCTATTTTCTTGTCTTTGTCAGTTTATCTTAATATCAAAGATTAAATACAAAAATTGTGGTATATTAAAATTCTTACTGTTCCTCTCCTTCTTGACCATCGACCACTCGAAGCCTGTCATTGAATGCTTTAGGCATATAGGCAATGTCCAATTCTTGGTGGGTAAAGATGAATCTCAATCCAAAATTTGTTGGGGGTCTTGCTCTTTTCGTGTTAATTACTCTTGGTTTTATGTGTTTACACATTGTTTAGGGAAAGGCTTGGGTCAAGAAAAAATAAAAATAATTGTGTCTTTTTCTTCAAACATTTCTCCACCTCAAAACTTCTTCTCATGAATATATATATATATATATATATTTATGCTTGGTAATAAAATGAAATAAAAACAAAGAAAACAAAACAAAAAAACCTCAAGGTGCTAACATCATATTTGTTTAACCCATGTTGGTTCGTCCTTCTCTCATTGTAATTTCTTCAAATTGAGTTGCACTTTCTGGGCTACTTTTTTTTTTTTTCAAAATAAAAAAGTTTGTAGGGCAAATGACACATGTAGTCCCAAAAATGTAGTTCTTCTGTCAATTTAGTTTTTCTAGTTCTAAATTGCATCAATTTTACCATTGAGTAATTTATATTGCATCAATTTTAACTCCCAAACTATCATTAAACAGGCAAATGGGATACATCGGAAGAAAGAACAAAATTTAAGGCAACAGAGGGGTTGACAACCCAATCGAAAGGTAAAGAGTTTGTGTACAAAGCTTTTGCTATCCAATGGCTTGCGCCATTGTTGACTAAATCCAATGGGCAAAATAGCACGTTCACTATAGAAATTTGACTAAATTCAATAGGCAAAATAGCCCATTCACTATTTTTAAAGTGATTAAGGGATAATATCTAATTTGAAATAACTTATTCCCTTTTGAATGGACCATTTGTATGCTCTCCATTTCTGTTAAATTTGTTAAGGAGCTCAATTGCACTAAACTGACACGATATGAAAACTAAAAGGCAAAATTGATAGAGTTGAAATTACATGGACCAAATTGATTCCAAAAGCAAATTATAGAGACCACAAATATAATTTTACCCATAAATATATAAAACTAAACAAGTACATGACAAACTAACTGATCTTATTGAAAGCAAACTTATTAGGTAGAACATGAGCTGCATGAACAGCCTACCAAGTAGCTTTAGTAACAACAAAATAAAAACTTAAACAAGCAAACAAATTACATATAGTTTTAATGTCTTCCAAACAAATTAAAGTCCACACAAGTCTCCAGCCAAAGTAACTTCACCAGATTAATTAGAACTATATTTGTCAACAAGTGAACACCACACAGATATCCATTGATATATGCTTGAACCATCTAAGAGCTTCCAGACAAGCTCGTTGCCTCTGCCATCAAGGTTGAAGAAGCAGCATAGTAGGAAGCACTAAGACGATATCATCATCCGGCAACAAATTAGCTGTTTGGTAAATGAAATTCCCCAATCTGGATTTTGAACATGAACTCCTAAGTTAAAAAATAAATAAATAAATAAAAAGGATTAAAATCATAGTATACAACTGCACTCATTCAACAAATTTGATATGCAACTAGAAGAAATGAATTCCTGATTACAAACTCTTTGAACTATTACTTGATTTAAGCAATCAAACCATATCTCGATTTTCAAATTTTCTTCTGGAGTTGATTTTGACATAACATGAACATATAAAATTCAAACATGACACTACTAATGAATAGGAATATGACAGTACTACTAAAGAATAAAAACATGACAATACTAATGTGTTAGTACTTATTCAATACCACTCAATAAGGGCAAGTTTCCTCTCCAATTCTAACAAGAGTGAGCGTCTTTTCTTCACCCATCATATAAAATTAAAGATCCCAGTGTTTAAATTGGGTATGGGTGTCTTATGAAGAATTTTTATACAACCAAGGCTGGTTTCTCCCTTTCTTATTGTAGTTTCTTCAAATAGAGTTGCATTTTCAAGGCTTCATTCAATAATTCCTAGATTAGAAATTGAGCTTCTTATCCTTGTTCTGTCTTTTTTCTTTTTTTTTAATCTAACATAAGTACATCTGCAGATTAATAAGAGAAATGCCCGAATTTGAATTTTTGTTAACTCTAACTAATCAATGTGTAAACTTCTCTCAAACTTTTCATAATGGTTTCAGAAGTTTCAAAAAGGGATTTAAAGCATTCTATGAAGCTGATTAAAGCAATGTAAGCAACGGGAAATAATGAATCCCTGATATCATTCATTTTTTTGTCACCAAAAGAAAATTTTATTGAAAAAATAGATGAAGTTAAAACCAAGAGCCGTGTGCTGCAAGATAACACAGCAAGGGTTGAGAAAATATCAAGTGAATATATGACAATCAGCTGCCACCACCTCTGTGTCAACACCAGTCCTGTGCATAGAATTCATACCTGCAGTGACAAGAACCTCCCAAACAGCATTGCCTTCAATTCTGTTCACCTGGAATTGATTTGAACATAAGCATACATAAGCTTATAAAATTAAAACATGACAATACTAGCGAATAGGAACATTACATTACAACCTATCAAAAAAAGGAACATTACATTACTAATGATGAATAAAACATGAAAGTACTTATTTAATGCTAGTTGGAAGGGGCAAGGTTTCTCTACAATTCCAATTCTAGTTCAATATATTTTAGCTTTTATTTTTAAGTCCTTAATTTTTATTTTTATTTTTGAGAGAAATTACCTGCTATCATAATTTTTATGGGTATGTAGCAATTCACAGTGGGAATTGTCGTGTAATAAGCAAAATTTTCATCCTAATTTATTACCTAACTAATGCCAAAGCTAACATGTGAATGGAACAGATAAGATGGTGATAGAAGTTAAACTCCATGTTAAGTTAAGTAGGCCTGTGATCAATATGTAAATGCCACAATCAGAAATTCACCAACATAACTTTCTTTCAATGTAGTAGTTGATAACTTCGTCTACATATTAGAATAAATGTTGAACATACTTTAAAGAGGTAACTAGTTAGTAAATTATTTACTACTGATGATTGGTTAGTTATGCAGTAGACGTATCATGTATTATCACAAAACCTTGAATGGTTGGCAATTTACAGCAAATAGTGTGATTAGCTACGCAAATAGTTTGAACAAAGAATTTTGTTCTTCCTAATTTATTGTATAACTAATTCCAGAGCTATGTTAAAGGAAAAGATAAGATGTAGATTTAAAAGTTAAATCCCATGTTAATTAAGAAATTCACCAACACAAATTTTTTTCCCCTTTCATTGTAGCAGTTGATGACTTCATCTATATAGCATTTCATGGTGAGAAATAAAAATTAAGAGTAAGAGAGAGATAAATAGATGTCTTGAGAGTAATGCTAGAGACTAAAAATTTAGACAGAAAAATACCAACAAAAATATCGTGTGGTGTAGATACAATAATATTATGAATTCTAGTATAGGACTTGGAAACAATAAGCATCAAAAAATAAATGAGATGTAGGTATAAATTTTCAAATATATATGAAACAAGTCTACTCCCAACGGAAGAACAGTTGCATGTAAATATTTTTCGAGAGGAAAAGTTATTGGCATATGTAGACAAGGGAAAAACTGAGACAAAGAGGGAGAGAGATGGGTGGAAGAACTACTGATCTTCACTCTCCTCTGTTTCTAAAAAATTCTAGGAAAAATAACCAATAAGTCCTATTTTGTTTTAAAGATTACTATCAAGTCTTCAATATGTACAATTAAATCTTATTTTTTATAACATATTTTCAAAATATTTATTGCTCCATCATGGTGGATGTTATCTCAATTTTACTCCTAATTTAATATGAAAATATTTTTAATCTAAGTAAAATAATATTTTTAATTGTAAAAATTATGATGTTGTATTAAAAAAAATCATAACTCACAATGAAAAAATTATCAAAAAGTGCTATTTTATTTTGAAAATTATTATTGAGTAATATCAAATTATGAACAAAGAATTTCATAAATAATTTTAATTTATTAGTAATTTTATAATTAAATTATTTTTAATTGTTCAAATTAAATGATTTTTAATGAACAAAATTATAAGTATAATATTAATAATTTTTACAATTAAAATTTTAAATTTTAATTAAGTTAAATTTATTTATAAAATTGTTGTTTATATTAAATAGGAAGGGTAAAATTAGAATAAGACGCCATTATAGAGTAATGAATCTTGTGGGAACCTTTTATTATAAATAAGACTTAGTTATTTATATTAAAACTTGATACGGCCCATGAGTAATTTCAAAAGTAAAATAGAATTTATTGATTACTTTTCTAAAATTCTTCTATTTTCTTGTTTTTGTCAATTTATTTTAATATGAAAGATTATACAAAAACTGTGGTATATTAGAATTCTTACTGTTCCCTTTTGGATTCATTCACCTAGAAAAAGGAATTGTTTTACTTACTTGAAAAACGAATGGAAGGGATGTGGCTAATTTTGTGAAAATCCTCTCCTTATAGGCCATCAACCACTCGAAGCCTGTCATTGAATGCTTTAGGCATCCAGGTAATCTCCAATCCTTGGAGGGTAGGGACGAATCTCAATCCATTCGGAAGCATCTTCAATTTCTTGCAGGATGCAATCCGTAGATAAGAAAGTTTAGGCACGGCTCCGTCATCCACCGTCCATTCCTCAATTTCTAAATGCGAAAGCGTTAGACTCTTAAGATGAGGAAAACCATGAGCAGAGCAAACCATTTCATTTCCTACAAAGGCAAAATCTAAGTATAGAATCCTTAAGTTAGGTAGCTTCTGCAGTGTTGCCATTGGGTCTTCCTTAAGTTGAGAGCCTGACAGGTATAAAGAAGTGAGGCATGGGCATAATAACTGGTGTTCATATTGTGGTAACTTACCTATAATCCCATTTATCTTCAATTGAACGAGGCAAACACACCCAAGCAGTTGTCTTAGGAGGCTTAATCCATCTTCCGAACACAAATCACAATCTTCAATAATAACCGATGTGTGCTGTAGTCGATGATGGTTGCTGTTAAGGATGTAGTTATTGACCATTGTTAGGTCCTCAAGCTTTCCCTTTACGCATACATTCTTCAATCTCCGGAGATTGGTTAATTTGGAGAGATCTCTAACATTAACCTTTTTTGAATACAAGTTTTCTAGCGTTTCCAAATTCCTCAAACCATCAACTCGTAGTTTGCCTTTTGTACGAAAGAAACCATGATGAGGAAGATAAAGATGTACCAATCCTTCCATCTTCCACAACACATTTGGAACACGGATGATCTCCTTAGGGTAGCATGTTCGCAAATCAAGGGTTTGCAAGTGTCTAAGGTTGCCTATTGATGATGGCAACTTTGTGAATGCAATCCTATTTAGACCCAAGTGCCTCAAAAGGATTAGGTTTCCTATTTCTTTTGGTAACTCTTTTGTTCCTTGTGAATTGCAAACTTGATTTCCATCGAAATTTATAACTCTTAGAAATTTAGATTCTTTGGAGAAACGGGTCAATTGTTCTCCAGACGGATAATGACAAACATCACGTCTGAAGAATAAAATTGTCCGAATATGCCAAGCTCTTTCTCCTTGTTCAAAGAGACAAAAGTTACTATCCTTCTTAACTAGATTGATGACAAGTCTCTGTATTTTACTGCAAGTGTTACCACCAATTGATTTTACCATGGATGAAGAAGAGGGATGCTCTTGCTGATTCATATGCCCATATTCAATGACCTGATGAAAATTTTCCTCTTTTGCCTTCGACAAACATAAATCTCTCATGAGATCATGAAGTCGACAATATCGAAACCCTCTACTTCCTCTAACTATTGAATCCTCCTCTGACTGCAATTCCACCTGAACCATGCACCTTTGTGCTAGTTCACCCATGTAACGTTCCGCTACATCCATCATTGTTTCATCTTCTCCTCTTTCTTCTTGGGATATGAAGCCTTCAGCCATCCACAATTGATATAGTCTCTCTGCATTAATGTTGAAATCCTCCGGATAATTGCCCAAATAAAGGAAACATGCCTTGACCTGATATGGTAAGTCTTGGTAACTCAAAGCTAACACATCCAATACTCTTGCATCTTGTCCTCCTCCCCTTTTTCCATATGAATTAAAATTTTGTTGCACTTTCTGCCAATGACTCAGGGTCAAGTTTGTTCCTAGAAGTCCTCCAAGTACTACAATGGCTAGTGGTAAGCCCCCACATTGTTCAACCATTTCTATTCCTAACTTCTTCATCATTGTGTCAACTTCGAAATCTGCAACAGACCAAAGTGTACATTTATCAATGCACAAAAGACCTCTTGTCTTAGTTGGACGAACACAAGTATCCTAGTTTGTGTTATGCACTTTGAAAGAATTTGCAAAAATGTTTTACATTATTGTCTATTGTTATGTCATGTTTAAAATTCTAAAAATAATCTACCAACTTGCCATTTAATATGCCTTGAAATAAATGCCACGGCATATTAAACTAATAAACAAGAGAATAAATCCCAACCATATGAAACAATCTATTATCCATGATTTCTAGAAGAAGGTAGTAAAAAAAATTATGCCCACAAAAATGAAAGAAATAAAACATTTTTGTTGTAGTTTTGCATTGAATGTGGTTGTGTGAAACTAGAAACCTGAAGAATCATTTTCACATCATTGTCTTACTCTTTTTGTTTTTATTTCGTGGTTCCAATTCAAAATTTCTAGCAAAAATATGGTACGTGTCACCACTTCTATTTCAAGATTTGTGGTGTAGTCTAAATTCAAGAAAATCTATGAACATAGCATTGATTAGGTAAAAATGAGAATTAAAACAATAGTAGAAATATATAGATCTTATTAAAAAAGGGAAAGTGTAATTGAACTACAAATGCGAAGCATGATAGCATATTGTAGTAGCAGTGTAATAGTAGTGGATATGGAGTTAGATCACAAAATATTTGAAATTTCACAACAAACTAACCTATAGTATCTATTTTCGAGAAAGCTTTTTTTCTCAAATAACTTCCAGCTCTCTTGCTTGCTTAATCATTTTTATGAAAATTATATTCATGTATTCTCAAAAGTTACTTGGATTTGTTAGATTATAGTACACATCTCTAAAAAAGTACATATCGTATGTACTTTTGTAATTACACCACAATAATTCAATAAAAAAAAGTGCGACATTGTGACACAAAAGCTTGAAATGTGAAACTTTATACTTTTGATCAATGAAACTTAATAAAACATTATATAATTTTTAAATCATGTAATAAAAGTATCAACATCCATACTTGATTACACCGAAGTTGCAAAAATAATCTAATAAAAATTGTTAAACATTCACAAATCAAAATCTTAAACATATTTCTAGTTGTTCTCACCTTCTTTGTGTAGTAGTTAGAACAAGTAATGCTTGAGAGAGAAGAAAGAATGTGTATGTCTCCGTATTATGGGAAGATACGGCAGGCCAGTTCCAGCAGGTTAAAGGAACAAATCATTTTTTGTTTGTTATGTAAATATCCCAAAATAAAATTTTAAAAAAAAGAAAGGAAAAAAGAAAAAAGAAAAAGAAAAAGGAAGAAATGTTTTTTTGTTTAAAATTAAGGGTTAATTACATTTTTTTATCTCCAAAGTAGGAGTCTTATGTCATTTTGGTCTCCAATGTTTGAATTGTGTCAATTTAAGGCTCATATTTTAAATACAAAAAATGTAATTAAGCCTTAAATTAATATAATGATATGCATACCATGTGTTTAATCCTGCATGGAATGAGATTTATAGCCACGGACATAGCACGGACCAAAAAATTGTTATACCTCTCTGTGTTTGATCTGTTTTTCAGAAGAAGTTTTGACTACAAACATCTTGGGTAATTTCATCTCTTTAACAAATTAATCTTTACATAAAAAGAAAAACTTATTTAAGAGAAAAAATAGTAGAAATTATATGCCCACTAAAATTATAGAAATAAACATTCTTGGTGACAAAGTGTCGAAAATTTTAGAAACATTATGTTATGTTTTGTGTCGCCACTTTTATTTTAAAATTTGTGGTGGCGTCTGAATTAACGGAAATGTATGAATATTGCACTATGTTAAAGTGAAAAATTAACGCTACAGTAGTAAAAAGATTTTAGATTTTCTAAAAGGGGAGGTGTTCTTTTACTACAAAAACAAAGCAGGATAGCATATTATGGGAGTAGTGTAATAATGGATGTAGAGTTAAGCCACAAAATTATACTCCCTCCGTCCCAAAATAATGGTCCCTTTTGGGGAATCCAACTTTTTTTAGTAGTACAATTATTGCATTTGAAAAAAGTTAATTTTCCAAAATTATCCTTTTGATAGTACATTTTTTGGGAATATCAATGCATAATTGTACTTTTTATGTTGTTTATTAATTTAAAAGAAGGGTAAAATAGGAAATTTATATTATTTTTGTACTTGGTTTTTGAAGAGGGACTAATATTTTAGGACAATGAAAAATGGAATAAGGGACTAATATTTTGAGACGGAGGGAGTATTTGAAATTTCACGACAACTAACCTGTAGTATTTGTTTTTGAGAAGAGAAATGTTAGAGATCATGAAAATTTTGTCATGAAAAGGATCATGAAAAATTTGTGACCTTTAGATTACCTTGATTAGTGTGTGGTACTTTATTGTAAGTGTAATTCAAAGGTCACAAATCTTTCATGACCATTTTCATGAAAGACTTTTCATGATACCTAGCATTACTGTTTTGAGAAAGCCTTTTTTTCAAGAGTAAGGATCCTCTATAGTGATTTTTCTCTAAAGTTTCTTAAAGTGCTACATTGTGTGGTTGAGATTTATTGGCAAGTCACATCAATTTTTCTGATGTGACTTACCAGTAAATCTCAACCACACAATATAGCACTCTAGGAAACTTTAGAAAAATTTCACTCTAGAGGATCCTTGGTGTTTTTTCAAATAACTTCCAGCTCTCGTCTGGGCTTAAACAGTTGGGTTCATGGACAAAACCACTTGGATCCATAGATGTTACCACCTCTTTATTACGAGTAGTAACGATTATTTTGCTGCCCATAGGATTTCCTTGAGGAAATGCCGGTGATAAGCACTCCCAAGCACGTAATGACCAAATGTCATCAAGAACAACTAAGCATTTTTTCTCTTGTTGAACTTGATAGAGTAACTTCACTAACTGGTCATCTATCATAGTCACAATCTGCCCACTTTTCTCTGGAATGAGTGTAGTCAGGATCCTTTGCAGAACATCTTTTCGATCCCATTGTTGTGATATTGAGACCCAAGCAAAGGCTTCAAAATTGCCCCTAACGTCTTGGTGATGGTAAACTTTCCTAGCAAGGGTAGTCTTTCCCAAACCCCCCATACCGCAAATTGAAACAACCTTACGGTGTTTGGCTTCTTCTCTGACCAATTGATCCACTAGTGTCTTTATGTCTTGCTCAAAACCAATAAAATCCTCATCTTCAACATGGGAATAAGTCCGTCGTAACTGAAATTGCCCTTGAAGAGCAGAACATGGACCTTCTCTTTCAGGGGCCATAGCAATTAGGCCATAAGTTGGAAATGCTGCAGTAAGCTTAGTGATCTTGCTTTTAATCCTTCTAATTTCAGAGCCAATCTTGCGCCGAGCTATGAGTTCATTGAAGATGCGAGTAGATCTCGTGATGACGTTTCGAAAGCCTCGCCTTAAATACAAAAGTTGCTATCACATCCTCTGCATCATAAGCAATTTCTCTGATTTCCGCAACCAAATTACGGATAATCTCATTTTCTACTTGTTTTGCATCTGCATCTGCATCTTTTAAAAAACATTGCATCCGCCTTAACTCTCTCACCAAATCTTCAACTTGATCGCGCACTCCATATAAGGATTTAGCTTCTTGAATCAACAAATTGCCGATCCATTTAGCTGCAAACGAGACAACAGACTCAGCCATATTTCTTTGGCCTCAGTGAAGCCAGAGCTTATGAGCTATGTGTGATCAATACAAACTAACATTTTCCAACTTAAAAGATTTAACTTAAAAAAAAAGGTAAAAAATCTATTTTAAACGAAATTTTTTAGTCCCAGGTTAAAATAGTTAAAAAGTCAAAAATCCAACTCATACCCAAAGGAACCCAATGCAAGTTGTTAGCAACAAAATAAATAAATACATTGAAACAAAATTAAAGTTTAAATTTAGATTTAGATTTAGATTTTTTAATAATAATGTATTTTATAGATTTTAGGATAAAATCATGATTCCAAAACACAATTTTAGATAATTTATTGTAAAATATTGTTATAAAGTCATGTTTTTACAAATATGATTTCACCTTTAAAATTATATATATATATATATATTAAAAATATGATTTAATGGATTAAAATAAATTTAAAAGTGTTTAAGTTAAAAAATTTTAATTTTAAATAATTTATTGATCAGTGCTTAAATATTATATATTTAACTCGTTAATATATAATTTATTAATTTATATGTTTTATAATTTTATGTAATTTTATATGTTTATATGTTTTTTTGTGTGTTTATATATAAATTACTGTAAATAATATATTTTTGTATGATAATTGATATACTAATGTGTATACTAGTTGGAGCATGTAACACCACCGGCTTCAAAAACATGTCGTTCCGATACATTCTACAGTCGAGATGAAAGCATAATAATTTGGACAAAAACTGTACCAACTACATTAAATTAAAGTAATGTTAAGATAATTACTTTTTGAAAAATGACAGGGTTAAATTAACTAAAAAGTTAAAAAAAAAAAAATTTAAACTTTTACTAATATAAATTGTTAACTTAGCACTACAAAAAAATACTTTTTAATAAAGTTGCATCTATTTTCTTTATCAAAAGCAAAAGTCTCTGATTCAAATAATTGTACTATGCCAGCCTGTTGGCATCTTTACTGTCTGGTTCCGTCTGTTTCAAAGCTTAATTGGAAGGGATTAATAGTTAAGAAATTAATAGTAAATTGATTAACTAAAATTATATTAATTTTGATGATAATTATTAGTGTGAATAATTTTAAATTATTTTTATATAAATAAATATAAAATAATAAAATAAATAAGATCATGATTTTTATTTAATAAAAAATATAAAAACATTAAACATTCATGGAGTGTTTGGCAAGAAAAATTTTAGTTTCTTTTAAGCTAAAATTTACAAAAAAATAAAATAAATTAAAATAGTTAATAAGAGAAAATGTCACGCCAAATCCATAATCATTTCATTTTTTCACTCACAAACATTACATTTAACTATAAAAAAAATCCAATCTTTTTAAACATAAAAATTGGGGGTTTTTTTTTAGGCTCCCTGATATTAAGATTTTATAGCATAAAGGACATTCAATATGTTCATAATGTCTAATATCCCTCAACATTGATCTAGAGAAATTTCAATTCAGAGAAATTCTTCCCAGAGAAATTCTGGACTTCCAAAGAATTTCTCTGAGTTCAACCCAGAGAAAATTCAAATTTCTCTGGGTTCATTTTGACCAATTTTCTCTGGGTTCAAATTTAAATTCAAATTTATCTAGTTCATTTATAAACTAGAGAAAATTCAAATTTCTCTAGGTTAATTTAAACCAATTTTCTATGGATCTTCCAGAGAAATTCCCGAATACATCTTCAAAAAACCAATCATCACATAAATTTATTCCAACAAATTTCTCTGAATTCATTTTTACAGAGTATGGATGGACTAGCACATGTATGAGAGAGAGGCAGAGTGAGAGGGTTGAAATAACAACGCCAACACTTCCCAAGGTATCTGCCAAAACATACAAGAAGATGCCTTCCATGTTGTGGTCAATGTGGTGGTGGTGGTGTTTTTGCACTTTTTCTTTGTGAGATGGTAGTTCTTTCTGTTGAGAAGTGCTATCTTTTGAAGAAGATGGATCGACTTCAAAATCTGAACTATGAGCATGGTTGTGAAGATTTCCTTGAACATGTGAATCTCTCCGTGAGTGGACTTCAACGGAATGATTGTTGAAGCTTCTTGAAGATCTAACTGTGCTTCCATGGAGATGCTGATCAGCATGCTGCTGCTTATGATCATGATGATGGTGATTCTCATGGTGGTTGTGATCATGAGCAGAGAGAGATAGATGCAGGGGAGGAGAGAGAAAGATCTAAGGTTTTAAGGAGATCGACGAGAGAGAGAGAGAAGAGCAGCGGGAGAGAGATCAAATTTATCTGTGAGGACCCTGGACTTCAACTAATAATATTGTGGATTTATTTTATTATAAAAAATGATAGAAGGACCTTAGACTAATTTTTTCTAAAAATTTTAGCTTACTAAAATAGTCAAAAATTAAAATAACCTACTAAAATAGCAACTTTCCAAACACCCACAATGTTCAACATGTGCTACCCAACATGTAAAAAAAAAAAAAAAAAAAAAAAAAATACACTTGGCTAAGTGTCTGTTCAGACGTCCATTCAGATGATTGGTAACGCTCTAAGTTGAACGGATTATTTTTTAATATCTCATTCTTGTTCAAACCGTTCAGCTGAAACCTTTCATAATTTGAATAGACTACCAATCTAGAATTCCGTAAATCAAACAAACATGATTTACAAATACTATTTTATCACTAAAAATCCACTCTGAATTCGTACATCAAAAACAAACTATTGGAAAAAATGGTTAATATAGGCATATTTTAGGCCAACTTTGAGCCCAAAATTGAGTGGGCCCCGAACGTCTTTTGGGGCGGGTCCGAAGATGTGAAGTGTTCCTTGCCGCGTGGCAAGTTACACGGTAAAGACGGTTCGTCAAAATCATTTAAGAGTGAATGGGAACATGACGTCGTTTTCGAGTTCGTGGAATTGAACATTTAAGTTTTGAATGTGGGTTTCCTTGTGAGGCTTGTCCCACATTGAAACTTGAAGAGAGTTTTGTTGAGTTTATAAGCTCTAGCCTACAGTACTTGGGTTGGACCCCAAGTTTGTAGAAGGGGGAGAGTTATAGACAAAGTGAACCTTAGCCCAAACCACCACACACGCGCGCCGCCGTCGTCCGGCCGGCCGAACCGTGCCAGGCACGGGTGTGGGTCGGGTCGGTTCTTGTATTAATTTTTTGGACAAAATTCATTTAAATTTTTTCAAAATAATATTGCGAGAATTTAATTCAAATTTGAATTCTAATTTTTTGTCCAACATTTAAGACAACTTCTGTCCGAAATTTCTCAACAAATTTAAACTGGTTTTCAGTTATTTAACTTCCAGAAACTGCCCAGCAGTTCCGGGTATAACTGTCTAGCAGTTTATCTGTTGAAACAGTTTCAAATCTATTTGAAGTTAAACTCATATCTGTTCAATTCAAAACACGTGCCAACAAAGCCTATATAAAGGCAGCCACATTCCAATTTTGATTGATTCTAAAAATCAGTCTGCAGATTGTCTAAATTGCTGTCCAATTTTTCTCTAGTGCATTTATTCTTCATATTTAGTTTTAGAATAAATTAAAGAGAGTATAGATCACAGGTTTGGTTCGCCGAAAAAATTGTTTGGAGTGCTACTATAATTTGTAAAGATCATTGTATCCTGGGAGATAGACGCCACTCAACCGTAAGCACCGTAGCGGGGCGAATCTGTCTTAAGGACAGAGTGTCACACACTCAACTTGGTCTTTGAATTTTTAATTCAGTTCAATAAATAAATACGGTCCGTTATTTATTTATTTGTTTGGCTTTATTTCAATTTATTTTATTTACACAGAAGATTGTTCTAACAATCTTAAGACAGACTCGAATTATTCTGTTTACATAATTTTTCGTTTATTTCCTTTTCTCATTCTTCTTTTAAGAAAATTATTTTTTGTGAATTTACAAAATAATATTCTAGTTGAAAAAACAAATAGTGATTATATGCTATTTGACAGATAGTAGTAATATACTGTCTCTTTTCTTTGACAACAACTAGTAGTATGATACTGGTGTCATTAACAATTCAGAATATATTTTTGTGGAATTTTTTCAGAAATTAATTTTGGGTTTTAGAAATTTTTTCTGAGTTTTCATTACTTAAAATTCTGTTTTAGTATTTTAATTTGAAGCGCTCTAGAAATTAATTTTTTGTGTGGAATTAATTTGGTTGAATAAAATTTTATTTTATTTCCAAATTAATTGAAAAAATAAAAGTTATATTCTTATTTCTTTTATTTTACAGAATTTAATTTCTTGTGTAGAATTAATTTGATTGAATAAAATTTTATTTTATTTTCAAATTAATTGAAAAATAAAAGTTACATTCTTGTTTCTTTTATTTTTCACAGAATTTAATTATGTGAATTTAGTTTAATTTTCTGTGTAGTATAAATTTTAATTATAATTTTGTGTTATAATTTAGAATTGATGGCTACTGAAACAAATGCCCAAACAAGTACTACTGTGCTGGCTGCGTTTGCACCAACCCCCTCTCCTGTGGTGACAGTACCAATAAATCATGGAGAGAAGGCAGACAAGTTCTCAGGAACTGACTTTAAAAGATGGCAACAAAAATGTTGTTCTATCTTACAACTCTGAACCTGGCTCGTTTCCTCCGTGAAGATGCTCATATCTTGAAAGAGGATGAAACTGACCGGCAAGTGATCGCTGCGGTTGATGCTTGGAAACATGCCGATTTCCTTTGTCGGAATTACATCTTGAACGGACTTGACAACACATTATACAACGTCTACAGTCCAATCAAGACAACAAAGGAACTTTGGAAATCGTTGGAGAAAAAATACAAAACGGAAGATGCCGGCTCAAAGAAATTTGTGGTTGACAGATTCCTGGATTTTGTAATGGTTGATTCAAAAACTATAATCAACCAAGCTCAAGATTTCCAACTCATTCTGCATGACATTCACGTAGAAGGCATGTCTCTCAGTGAATCCTTCCAAGTTGCTGCCTTAATTGAAAAATTACCAAAAGGCTGGAAGGAATTCAAGAACTACCTCAAACACAAGCGCAAAGAAATTTCTATGGACGAATTAATTGTGCATTTGAGGATTG